TTAATTTACGTATTCTTATTATACAAAAATCATAATTAATGCATAATTAAAATAATAATAATCAGAATATATTAAATTTAAATCTAAATAGTGTTTATAAATTATGTTTTTCTAATTAGACACTATTTATACATTAATCAAAATAAAGTTAAGTAAAAAATTAAACACACGATGAAGTTTGAAACTTGTAGGAATAGAAAAATATAAAAGTTGAGATGCAAAATGGGGACGATAACTCATTTATTTATATATTTTATGTTGTAAATTATAATTATATTAAAAATATTATATATCTATAAAAATAATTAGGATTTTTATACAGAAATTAAAATTATTTAGGATTTTTTTAATGAGAACACCCAACAGACATTCTTCATTTTTCTCCAATAAAGGTTACATTTTTCATTTTTTATACAGGAACCCAAAAGTTAATCTTCAAAATAATTAGGATTTTTTAACGAGAACACCCCAAAGTTAACTATTTTTCTCCAATAAAGGTCACAATCTTCATTTTTTATACAGAAAGCCACCCAACAGACGCCCCTAGCCACAATTTAATAAAAAAAAGTAAACCTTTAGCAACATCATTTGAATTGTTGGTAAACATGCAAAATTTCTATTCTAATCAAACAAATAATTAAGAACAATGATGCTTAATCAATGTTAATTATTAAACTTCAATGACATATTGACATACATCATGCATGTCCACTTCCTTTTTCTCTATCTTGGCCCCATCTGCATGCTTAGGCTATAATGTCTCACATTCTTTTTATCCCTTCTTTTTCCTTTATTTGATCCCTTCGATCTGAATCTTCATCATGCTTAGCCGAAACATATGGTTTTGATTTAAAGATGGAAAAGGAAGAGGGTCTCCTCTTTGATTCCTCTTTTTACGGTTTGGGTTTATACGATTTAGTAGTTTCATACAAAAGTCGATCTCTGAACTTGATAAATTTTATCATATTATTCTGACACATGTCATTATCTTAGTGGTTCATAATAAAATTAATCTTCGGGGTTAACTTTGTACCTTTAGATAACCTTAGAGGTGTCAATTTGACCCCCCCAAAACTTATAAGGGCCAATTTGGGTATTAACCCTATAATTTTTCTTCCACTGTTCCATCCATTGGCACTATAGTGCCCAGCATGTGTAGTTTTCTTATTCAATCTTTTAGAGGACACCTCCCCACCCAATCATAATCTGATTTTAATTCTAAAAATTCTCATAATTCCTAGTAGGTCCCCTTTTATTTGCAACTCTTCAATGTTGATGTTTTTGTGAAACATTTAGTTAACCTTTCCAACTGTTACACCCCATCTGTCTGATTTTTCTTTTTCACAAACTTTTTTCTGTCTGCAAGTGAGGGCAGGAACAAGCTGTACTTCCCGATCCACGTGCCTTCTTTCGTATCTTAATCTATGATGTTCCGACACTTCATTTTTATTAAAGTATTCATCTCTAACATTCGTAGTTGACACATATACATGGAAAAATCTATATAATATTATAGAATATATATTTTTACCTGACACTCACAGTCGTACACATAACTCGAGTAACATAGGTCTTTTTATATTTATATGATGTATGTATGGTTGATTTGATGTTATTAGCCCACCAACGGTTATGATACAAGGATGCACATGAACCATGTTTTGTGAGCTCACATCATAACATTAAGGTGATGCTGATTTGGCCTATATATGCTTAATGTCGAGGGAGTTGTTTACATCGATTACCCTTTTAATCATTCTCTTTTTAAGTCCATTCCTTAGGTATTTCCTTTGCATCCTAATTCAATGGATTCCAAGTCCATCCCATCGCCTTCCGAGGCATGCCCGGAGACGATGGACTTTCTTTCACGTACTTGGTGCGACTTTGCGGTTCAAGCTTTGCAACCGGAGGTACATGATCAATCGCTTGTCGTCATAGACAACCCGATCAAGACATTTGAGAGTGATTCCCCGATGTCGTTCACGGTGAGTATCGAAGTACTCTGTGTGTGTATATATATATATATATATATATATAAGATGTTCTACTTGCATACACTGTATTTTAATTCAGTGACGTCCAAAAGAAATTGAATTCAAGGTTTTTTAAATCTCAGAGGATGGAGAAAAGCACAAAGATTGATGCTACTGATTTCAAGTCTTCTTTGCCACCATGGAAATCAAATGATGTGAAGGTAACATCTACGATACTGTTCCGTTAATGCTACCTACATACCGACGTTACTTGTCGAAGTTGTAACAGATTTAAGTTTTTCATTTTGTGTTCAGTCATGGATATGGATGCAACAAGCTATGCATCCAGAACTGAATTACAACAGCTGTTTTCGAAAGAAATGGGTAGGTACCTTGTCGTTCACGTAATAAGAACATTAATATTCAGAGATTAATTTTTACGACTTGTCGCCGATGTACTCAGATGCCGTGGAAGATAGTCCCCTTCAAGGGCATTTCAATCAAGACGTGGTTGAAGGAAATTAGAGCAAAGAGGAAGGAAGAAGATAGACTACAAAGAGCCGAAGTGCACGCTGCGATGTCAGTGGCAGGGCTAGCAGCAGCACTGGCTGGGATTGCAGCTGAGAACTCGAAACAGAATGATTGTAACCCGATCAAGGAGGCTGTAATAGCCTCGGCAGCTGCTCTGGTTGCCGCACAATGCGCCAAAGTGGCAGAAGCGATGGGGGCTAAGAAGGAGCAGCTTGGCAGTGTTATAGGTTCGGCCATGAGTGGTACGAGTGCAAATGATATCTTAACACTAACAGCTTCAGCTAACACATGTAAGTGTAAACGTAGATACCATGTCTGATTCCCCATCGTTGTCTGCGATCTTTGGATATATTAGTTCGAAAAGGAATAACACTCGCTAGAACTTAATTCTTTGATTTTGATTTTATTCTAATAATTGTTATAGCATTAAAAGGAGTTGTTACACTTAAAGCAAGAACAGGATGCAAGAACAGATTCAATAATAGTTCCCCCATCCTTCCAATCGAGGACACCGATGATTTTCCATTCGAGTTCGAGAAGTGCAGGTCAATGCTGGCGAAGGGTGCTGAGCTAGGCGTAGAAACACCAGATGGTTAGTAAATCTCACTCTTGATCATCAAAATTCAACATTCGAACTTGATTCACAGATAAAGATTTCGAGTTCGAGTCCTAACACTGATTTCTCGCCAGGGAAATACAAGGTCAGATCAGTGTCCATAGTACTTGATGGTGAATCAAAGGTCAGACACAGTGACGCTGAAGCCTTAATCAATTAGCAATAATTAAATGCACTGAATCAAATAATTAGTTTATTATGGCATATATTTTTCAGGTCATTCTTAAACAAAGGAAGCTTAGCCTCTTAAAAAGCAAGAAAGAATGTAAGTCTCACACCGTCATTATTCTCCTCTTTTATTTCCGTTACTTTAAAAAAGTTGTTTAATGATGAAGATCACATGGAAACTTGATCAAAATCTGGATTCTATGATTCAGGCATCGTACTGGACCTGCATGCGGAGTTGTACAGAGATCCCGAAGCCGATGAGATGACAGACACATGCTACCTAATTGTGTTGACGACGAGTTCGGGGACGATTAAGCTTGACATGGTGGATGATTACCAGCGTTACAAGACATGGGCAACCACCATTAGCCACATGCTCATGCTTTCCACTTCTTTTACCAAATATCAACTTCAGTTCCACAAGAACTGATTTTCTTGTGTTTTCTGATATTCGCCGCATGTATCGATCGATTTCAAATACCTTTTTATAGTATTGTATATTGATTTTACATTGTTATAAGTGTTTTCTGAACATAAATATAAGGAATTTCTTATTAGATCTTGAAAGAGTAGCACAACTCTACATGTCACAAGAAATCGAAGCTTACGTTCATATACCATGGGAGTCTGCAAGGCTCCTGAGAACATAAACCAGTGCTTTTAATTTCATGATGTGCTCGATAGACCTTCGAAACAGGGTCTCCGAATCCGTCTCATCGGAACCGGGAACGATCTTCTGCAGGGTATCACTTTTTTCCCAACCCTAGGCGTGACATCCTCGTCTTTTGTCCTCTTTGATTCATGGACAACAAGCAAGCATTTCTCATGGTAACAAGAGAAGCTTTGGAGCTTGTAAATTGGATGTTTGCTAAAGGAATTTATAGATTTAGACATTTTCGCTTGCTTGGGACCATTTGTTTTATTGAGAGTGAATTCTATAGACAACAAAGCATGGTGCACTTACCTTATACTATTTGTCCACCATCGTCAAACATCACCTCGCTATTGCAATAATAAATAATTCACGAATTTCGTTTTCTTGTCTCATCATAAATTATTCATATGTCACATGTCAATAAAAAAATAATATATTATTTATCGATTTGTATAATGAAAATCGCTCTTTGTTGGTATTGCAATACCTTAATCCAAATAATCTTATATTCTCAAAATCAAAAACTGTAAATCTGTAATGAAAGAGGAGCCAAAAAGTATCTATTATTCAATTATAACTCATCTTTCTCTATTCTCGATTTCTTCTCCTTCTCCGTTTGTCATTCCAAAATAAAAAGTGTAAATTTAATCTTTAGAGATTTAAAGTTTAAACAATTATATCTACAATATATCTGTTGTCAATAACTAGGAAATATTATAAATAAATACTATATAATAATCACATCAGATTATTAAAAAATAATTTTTAATTAAAAATAAAGATTGATTAGGAAAATCAGACTTGTCTCTCACATGTAATAATTCAAACATTTAACTGAAAAATAAACGAAACAGTCGATATAGATTTAAGTTCAAAACGTTTAACAAGCTAGAAATTTGGTTAATTTCTGGACTTTGGGGTGCTTCGTTTCGTAGTCAACCTGTAGTTATTGACTTTCTCGTCTTCTTCATGACCAATTGGGTGTCCGAAATCTAACAGTAAAGATATATATTTTAAAAAAGGAAAGTAAAAGATGTTAGAATATCTAAAACCAATAACAACGACCCCTGCCAATTTGCCTTCCCACCCCTGAAAAACACGATCAACAAAAATTCATAAATCTTTATGTTTTCTCATGACCCATCACCTTACCTTTTCTTACAGTTTTAACGAGCCTCAGATTTGGGGAAAGGAAGTCTCAAGCATTTAAAGCTCAGTTTTTTTTGTTTTGTTATTAGGGTATGTTTGTTTAGGGTTTTCGTAGATCGGGTGTAAAGCGTTTGTTTCTTCTGCTTCTTGCTGGTCATGGAGTTGAAGAAGGACAAGCTTGTCAGGTGAGTAGTTTGCTGACTTTTTTTCTCTTTTATGTTTACTGTTTGTTGCTAGCTTTGGTAGCTTTTCTGGGCAGTTTTTTTTAAAAGGATGCTGTTTGGTAGCCGAGAAAGTTCGGGCAACTTCGGATTTTCCATTAGGGACTACAATAAGCTGGAATTTTAATGATAATTAGGAAAGTTTGTCTTTTACATTAGGGCGTTAAGTTTTTGCTGGAAGCTAGATTTAGAACTTTTTATTCAAGTGGAATTAATGTATTTGGTTTTCTATTTTCTTGGGGAATAGATCAAAATAAAACATAAATTCCGTTGAAAAAGAAGTTAAGGGGATTTATCTCTTTGAATTGACTTGCCGATTAAAGTGAAAATTTAGAAATTTTTGAAGATTCCAGATGATTTTTGCTGTATGGAAGAAAGTGTTTTGTCAAACTGAATTGCAGGGCTGCTGAAGCGTTCTGAATTCTAGAATCATGAAAAGTTTCTTGTTTGTGAAAATCATTTCTGCTTTCAGTAAAGAGTTTTATGAAATACTTCCTATTGACTAATTGGTGGTGAAACTTGTTCATTTCTAGGTTCTACTCTGATGGAAAACAGCATAAAGAAACTCCATGGGGAATGAATGACCCATCATTCCTTGACAAGTCATCTTCTGGGTACAGTATTCCGTTTTCTTCGGTGCTAAAACCGGAGAATGGAATGGATGGAGGAAGAAATAGACTTCCTGAAATGGGGAAAATGGGAAGGTCAAAGGTTTCGCTGGAGGGGAATGAACTTTGGTACAGGAGAATTCTTGATCCAGGCAGTGAGATTGTGTTGCGGTGGAACTGGGTTTTCATTATTGCATGTTTGGTGGCTCTTTTCATTGACCCATTGTACTTTTATTTGCCTGGCGTTGGAGGGGATGCACAATCCTCTTGTGTAAAGACAGATACGAACTTGCGAATTGTTGTTACCTGTTTTCGAACTGTTGCCGATATCTTTTATTTGTTGCACATAATTATAAAATTTAGAACAGGTTATGTTGCACCAAACTCAACAACTAGAGTGTTTGGAAGGGGTGAACTTGTAATGGACCCTATGAAGATTGCGCGGAGGTATCTTAGGTCTGATTTCTTCATTGATTTCATTGCAACACTTCCTCTTCCTCAGGTATTTGTTCTAATACGCAGTTTTTGTACTGAAAAAAAGCTTATCATAAATATTAGATGCTTACTGCCATTACCCATATAAAAAGGAATATTAGTTGCATGAGTTTTTTTGCATCATTCTGTCACACGAACTAGTTTGTAGTTAGGTTGAGGATTTGTGTCTCATTTACCGAAGAATATTATGGTGGATTTCTCTTTGAGCAAGGCTTCGCAGGGGTAGGGTCATTGATTCGAACTGTGTAAACAACTCTCGTGTTTTTGTGTACATTTCTGTTTTTGGTGGTTCACCTAGTACCGACTGACTTAAGCTCTGCCTGACAAAATTACACCGACATAGAAGATCTTGAAATTACCTTGGGGCACTATATCCCAATCCTTGGATAAAATGATTAAAAAAATGCATGTCTCATTTCCGGCTTAATGCATCGGGTACTAAAGATGAAAAAGATGAAATCTCAGTTTATTTAATAACTTTTTTTGCAGATAGTTATCTGGTTTATCATTCCGGCAACAAGAAGTCCTCGGACTGATCATAAAAACAATGCCCTTGCATTAATTGTTCTGCTTCAGTACATTCCCAGATTGTATTTGATTTTTCCTTTAAGTTCTCAAATTATTAAAGCAACTGGAGTGGTTACAAAGACGGCATGGGCGGGTGCTGCTTACAACCTTCTCTTATACATGTTAGCCAGTCATGTATGTTTCACTTATTACTTTTATTGTTAGCCTTTTCTTTGCTTTCGTATTCACATTCGTATTTGCTCTCTTTGACAATAATTGGCTGGGTGAATTTCTTTTTCCACCAGTCAATTTCTTCTTTATCCATCTGCTAGTGTTTACACAAAAAGATGCCTATTCTTGTAGGTTGTAGGGGCAGCATGGTATGTGCTTTCTGTTGACAGGTATACTTCGTGCTGGAAGAAAATTTGCAGAAAGGAAATTCCTTCTCTCAGATGTAATCTGTACTATTTGGATTGCGACACTTTTGGCCTTAGTGATCGCAATAATTGGAAAAATTTCACTCGTGTGTTCCAGCAATGTGACCCGAAAAATGATATCGATTTCCAGTTTGGCATTTTTGAAAATGCCGTAAAAAAGAATGTCGTCACCAAGGGCTTTATTGAGAAGTATTTCTATTGCTTATGGTGGGGCTTACAACAACTTAGGTATGCTTTTATTTATTTTATGGAAGAAAGTATTAATTTTTGCTTCTTATTTACAAATTACAGTTTTACGTCCCAATACTACGGTAAAATAGTCCTAGTCAAGTCTAGATATGCTTTATATGCAATCAAATGACATTCACTGAGCATATTTCTTATCTGGGTGTATCTGATCAGTGCAACATAATATGTCAAGTGTTTACATCGTGTTTGATGAGATACTATTCCTGAAATAGTTGAAGCAAAGATATAAACCTTCCCCTTAAGAATGCATTCGAGATGTCTACCGATCAATTTTATGTTTCTCTGTGCTGGTTTGGAATAGATGACATTCAAAATAGATAGGTCGCGTTTTCATGTGCCCTTTAGAAGTAGTAGACGTATTATGCCAATTGTTTTCTAATGCTAATATCATGAAATGCTGCTTTAGGCTCATAAAACAACTTGTGTTTGCTAATGTTAATATGTGCCTTTTGTTTTCTTATCGTCTCAGTTCCTATGGCCAGAATTTGTCAACAAGCACTTTTATCGGGGAGACGCTATTCGCTATACTTATTTCTATCCTGGGTCTTGTTCTATTTGCCCACTTGATTGGCAACATGCAGGTATAGAATATTTGCTTCCTTGAGTTTTGCCAGATTTCATGTACTGTTTATAGTAACTCAAATGAAGTGATATATGCTGTCCATCATCTCGGTGCTGTGTTCGTGAATGGATTTTGTGTTTGTATCTCTCTATTAATTAGTTTTGTTTATCGTAACTGTTATGATCACATGGTACTGTCTTTATGCAGTTATCTATTTTAGCAGTTGAGATCTACTTTCTTTCCTGAATCGGAGAGCTGTGAAATAGGAAGTAGGACATATTATTTTTTAGTTTATTGTAGTTCGCAAAATCCTACATTAAGCTTCGACTTGTCCTTATTGAAACAATTATTTCTGGTTGTTATGTTTACAGTAATATTTTACATTTGTTTGTGTGGTACAGACTTATCTGCAATCCCTCACAGTGAGATTAGAGGAATGGAGACTTAAGCGGAGGGACACCGAGGAGTGGATGAGCCATCGCCAACTGCGTGAAGATTTAAAACATCGTGTTAGACGTTTTGTTCAGTATAAATGGCTTGCAACTCGTGGAGTTGACGAAGAAGCCATCTTGCATAGCTTACCTGCTGATCTTCGTCGTGATATTCAACGCCACTTATGCTTGGACCTTGTTCGACGTGTATGCATTTGTCCCATGTCATATTCTTTTCGAGTTCCAAACCGCCCTTATTTGCTTCGTTATAGATGTTTCTACTTGAAAAACATCTCAATGGAAGATTGCCCACATTGAATTTTAGGAGTCATATTTCTTTATTAAATGATAATTATTTTCATTGAAGTTATTCACTTTTGTAGGTCCCTTTCTTCTCCCAAATGGATGATCAGCTGCTTGATGCAATATGTGAGCGCCTAGTATCGTCCTTGAGCACTGAGGGTACTTATATCGTTCGTGAGGGTGACCCTGTGACGGAAATGCTCTTCATTATTAGAGGTAGATTAGAGAGTTCTACAACCAATGGTGGTCGAACCGGTTTCTTCAACTTGATCACATTGAGACCCGGGGATTTTTGTGGAGAGGAACTGCTTGCATGGGCTTTGCTACCAAAATCCACCATGAACTTGCCCTCTTCAACAAGAACGGTCAGAGCTTTAGTCGAGGTTGAAGCATTTGCACTACGCGCTGAAGATCTCAAGTTTGTGGCCAACCAATTCAGACGGCTTCATAGCAAGAAACTACAGCACACCTTCCGGTTTTACTCCTACCACTGGAGGACATGGGCCGCCTGCTTCATACAGGCTGCTTGGCGTCGGTACAAAAGGAGGATGTTGGAGAGCACTTGGAGGACAGAATCATTTGCTTCCGACGAGAAAGAGGATGACGAGACTGAGCAAGAGGAAGAGAAAAGTTTAATAGCAGGCTCCATTCCTTCTCAGGCAAAAATGAACCTTGGAGTCACGATATTAGCATCGAGGTTTGCAGCGAATACTAGGAGAGGAGCTCAAAAGATCAAAGATGTCGAGATGCCAAAACTACAAAAACCCGAGGAACCCGACTTTTCTTCAGAGCCTGATGACGACTGATCCGATTGTATGCATCGGCTGAGCTTCTTGACTTGGTGTCAGACCTTCAAGTTTAGGAATATGGAATCCCAAAGGGTTGAAACGTTGGTATTTGGACCATTGAAGAGCTTAACTCAGTCCTGGAAACCTTAGTAGATAATGGGTTTAATTCATCATGCAAGCTGGGCGTATCCCACGAGCCTTGAAAAAAACAAACAAACTCGAGTTATTAAATTTAGCCTCTGATTCCCGTGTTTTGACTTGACAATTTAATGATGTTTACGAGATGAATCGAGTTCTGAATCTAAGATTTCATAAATTATAGTTTGTATTATTGAAAAATACATTGAAATATAATTACATTTATGAGCTATGTTGGGGTTTTTAAGCAATGTTTAGAGTTCAAACCATCTGATATCGCCCATAATTCAGCCCATAATTCAGTTACCTCCACCGTTCTTTCAGCCATTATATGATTACATTTTCTCAAAATCTCATTTCAGTTGAAGAAATTCAATGTAAAAAAAGAAAACAACCCTTTTTGGAGTTTGATGTGTATACTCTTAAATAGCAAAGAGAACACTGTTACATCGTTCAACAAAGCAATGATATGGAAATCTTATTACTTTCGCAGACATGAATTCTTCCATTGAGATCTTGAGCATCTGTCGCAGGTTTAGCTTCATATTTCACGAATCAATTCAGTTGAAGGATAATATGCTGCAAAAGTTTAAACCGTGATCCTCGGATGCACTCGATATTAACAGGATCTAGATGATCACGAGGTTCCACTACTAGAAATGAAGTTGTTACCTTAATCTGGATTCTATCGTATGTATAAGTGATGTGCAGGAGTCCTTCGCTATCCTCAATAACGGCCGGATAAGAGAATTCCATCCCCGGATTCTCTTCCAGTGCTAAAACTTCGTCCCATGAACCACCATCATCTGTGGACACTGCAACTTTAAGCACACCCCTTGAGATTGTGTTGTAAGCAAGCAAGACACGGCCGTCCCTCAGCTTGACCCCATCGATACCTATCGAATGCAGCTTGAAGATACTATTTTTTATCCATATTATTATTATTATTATTATTATTATTAATATTATTATTATCATTATTAATATTATTATTATTATTATTTTTGTTATTATTATTATTATTATTATTTTATTATTAAATATATTAAATACATATAAATTATAAACCAATTACAATTAAACCGGCCCAGTTACAAACCAACTGAAACCGGTCCAAATCCAACCAGAAACCCTAAATATTTGGGTTTCCAGTTAGGGTTTCCTAACCCTAATCATCCTCAGCCGCCTCATCACAACCGTTGGATCTGGCACGATCCAACGGTCCACATGGTTCCAGAGAGAAACCCTAGGGTTTGATACCCTAGGGCCACGCGGCGCCGCCCCAGCTTTCACGCGGCTGCCGACAGTCTTCTCGCCGCCTCCGCCGCTGCCACGTCCCGAATGAAGGCTCCAGAAGATCATACCAGCCGTCCACGCCATGGCTACTCGGTGAGTCACCACTGGTAGTCCGGTGACTCACCGAGAGCCCTTCTTCGGACCGGTCCGACGGCTACAACGGTGGTGGCTATAAAAGCCACCACCCCACCTGCAAGAAAAAAAAAAGAGAGACAGAGACAGAGACAGAATCGGAGAGAAAAAAAAAGCAGAGAAAAGAAAAAAACAAACTAATACCAACGATCTCAGCAGCAGCAAAGAACCAGAAGAAAAAAAAAAAAAAGAAAAAGGAAGAAAAGACTTACCGAGGAAGCTCCGACTACCAGATCTCACCGGAACCTTCGAAACAACGAAGGTACTTTTGTAGATTTGCTCCGATTGGGAGCCTTTTAGGAAGAAATAACACCGGAACCGTCCTTAGGACGGTCCGATCTATATATTAGTGTAAAGAAAAAATTTTCCGGCCACCGGATGCGGTGGCCGGCGGTGATGGTCACGGCGGCAGACGGTTGCCGTCCGATGACCGGCTTCCCTCCGGTGAGGGAAGCTAGAGAGAAGGCAGAGAGTTTTAAAACTCTCTCTGCTAGAGAGAGAAAAAAAAGAAAGAAATGAAATGGCTGGCCCTTCGGGCCAGCCGGTTTGGACCATTTATAGTCCTTCCCGAACGACGTCGTTTCGGGAAGGACTATACGCGTAATTACGAAATAGTTAAACCCCGTCCGCAGTCCTCCGTATTTGTAAAGTTTACATTTTAGTCACTAAATTAAATTTATAATATTCTTAATTTGGTCTTCGAATTTTAATTTCTTTTATTTTAGTCCTTCATATTAAAATAATATATTTAGGATAAATTACAGATTTGATCCATTAATTTCCATAAATAATTTTTTTATCCCTAGTTTATATTTTTAATTTATTATAAAATTCGAATTTTAGATAATTTTATTTTAGTCACTAAATCATTAAATCAGAAAATAACATATTTGATCCCTATAATTTTGATTAATTATAAATTAGACTTTTAATTTTATTTTTACTGTAATTTAGTCATTTATTATATATGTTTTCTTTTATTGTTTTTAAATATATTATTTTAATAGTATTTTTATTTTTATGAATAAATATTTTTATATAGTCATAAATATATATATAATAAATAGTAATTTTTAAATATTTATCTTAATAAATCGAAGAAAAGGACAGTCTTAATACAACTGGATGTCCTATTCTGAATTTTTAAAATTAAAAATTAAATAATATTATTTATCAATATCAAAGAAAAGAGCTGTCTTAAGGCACCTAGAAGTTCTTTTTGGATATTTTTAAATAAATAAATATTTTTTTATATAATTTTGAAAATAATAGAATTATAAATTTTCGAATTTTTAAATTTTAATAATAGAGACAATTTATAATTGCAAAGTACCAATTTTGGGCGTTGTAGGGGTGCTAATCCTTCCCTAAACGTAACCGACCACGAATCCCTTTTTATTATTAAAAAGAACGAATTTTTGGTTATAAACGCAGATCAGTTTAATTTTTTTAATTGATGTTTTCTTAAAACTCTTTTAAAAGATATTTTTTTAGGTATTCGACCTACCTAACCCAAAAGGCCGATGGCGACTCTCAAATTATTTTCAAAATTATTTATTCATATCAATTTCCCCGCCAAATTTAATATTTCGTGCCCGGACGAAAACCGGTTACGACAGCTTGGCGACTCTGCTGGGGACGGTCAAACTTTTAAAAAATCAATTATAAATTGTCTCTATTAATTAAAAATTTATATATTTAATTTTTAATTCTTTCTTTTCAAATTTTTTATTTATTTATTATTTTTATAATATTTATATGTTTTATTTGCAAGTATTTTATTTATTTCAGTATTTATTTTTCTGTCAAAAGTTTGAACATTTCTCCTCACACACAACACTTGCATTGCATAACATAAAGCTCTATAATTGAGTTGTCCCTTTTAAGTGGGAGTGAAAGCGACGTCTTCGTGAGAATTTATTCTCCGTGTCAGACCTAGCAAGTAACTTCCGGGGTTCATATGCTCTATGTCTTCGTGAGAATTTATTCTCCGTGTCAGGCATAGAGAAATGTATCCCCTCGAATTGAACTCGATCCACTTTAGTCTGTGATGGACTAGGATTGGGGGTTAGCAACCCAAGGGGGCACTAACAAGGACAATTCGGGTACCTTTATTCTTAGATCTGAAACCCTGCATATAAAAAAACCTTAGAAACTCTTCCAATCCGAAGTCATGCCGAAATTTTGTCCAAAATAGGTGTACACACAGGAGAAATGAATTCTGTCTTTCCTGTTAATTTATTTATTGTTTAAATTACATGTTTATTTAAATTATTTAAATTTAGAAAAGCATGTTTAAATTAAATAAATGTTATTATTGAATTTTTTATGTAAACTAATTTATTTTCTTTTTTGTGTGTTCTTTATTTTTCTGCTTGCATCGCATCATACAGGATAAAAGACATTGATCCTTGTGTTAATTGTCTCATTGGAAAGCCTTCATCTATGGATAAAAAGTGTTCAAGTCAAGTAATTCTAAACTCAGAAGTAAGACAGTGGGCTGAAGATTTACAAAGACAAGAAGGAGACAGTCTGCAGGATGATTATGTATCTGACTTGGCCAGTTATGCTTCAGTTTCACTAAAAAGAAATGATATGCAAGATTTGCGAAGCATTTGGGAAAGTTGGGATTCAAACAAAAAATTACAGTTTTATCAGACTTACGGAGACATCCCATATCTGCTCTATGTGGAAGTTGATGATGAATTACTCCGAGCCCTAATTCAATTCTGGAATCCAGGGTACAATTGCTTCACTCTCAATAAAGAGGATTTGGTCCCTACTATTGAAGAATACACAACTTTGCTACATATTAAAGGTGCTTTGGAGAATCGAATATATTCAAAGTCAATTAAAAATCAACCCTTTCGAGTTAAATTAGCAAAGATTGCCGGGGTACGAGAAGAATGGGTAACGGCCCGTACAAAACAAAAAGGCGAAAGCGAAGGCATTGCTTGGACCAACATCAGAGAACTTATTCAAAGCCATCCAGATATTAAAGTACGATTCGATCTATTTGCTCTGGGTATATATGGCATGGTCATCTTCCCAAAAGTATTGGGATATATTTGAAGCTGCAGTGGTAGACTTGTTTGAACAGCTACCGAAGAAGATTAATCCTGTTTCTGCAATCCTAGCAGAAACCTTCAGATCGTTAAATGCTTGCAGAAGGCTAGGAGGTGGACGATTCTCAGGGTGTACTCAGTTGTTATATGTTTGGATCCGTAGTCATTTCTGGAGAACAGAAAAGGTTTCATACCGACGCTTTAATACGGATTATTCACCATTAAAAGAATTTCTAGAGCAGGAATGGCCGAAAGAAATTAAGAAAGATATGTGGATTAATGCCTTTCGAAATCTGCAAAGCAATGACGTTGTTTGGCGCGCCCCGTGGCAAATCCAAAGGGAATTCCTTTACAGGTGTGGTGATTACAACTGGATAATGCTGCTCGGATTATGGGGAGGAATTGGATATGCACCACTTCTGGTTATAAGACAGTATGAAGGTCGTCAATTTGTACCTGTCACTGCTGGACTACAGTCGTCTGAGTTCGCATTCCACAGCAAAAATTATAAAAGAAGTATCATGGAAGCCGTTACAGCTTGGAAAACAACTTTTTGTATTCGAGCTAAAGCAGCAAAAGAAATGCTAACTCCTGATTATGAAGATTGGAGATCTGTCAGAAAAAACGAAAATATTCCTCTACCAGATCAAAATGAGGATATCTCTATGGAAGATCGCATTAAGGTGGTTCCATCAGAGATTGAAATCTTGAGAGCTGAGTTTGAAGCAGAAAGAGATGGCTGGTCGAAAGAATTAGAGCAAATGAGACAAGATAAAGCTATGTTGGGGGTTGACATTGACTTTCATTCATCACAATGTGCAATGTTGAGAAAAGATAAAGAAAAAGGTGAGGATGAGTACAGAGCCTTACAGAAAGATTACCAGGAGTTATACAAATCCCGAAAAGCATCAGGACCCAGCCAATCAACGGTACAGATGACCAGAGAATTGAACATTGAGAAAAGACGAGTTGAAGATCTGAAAGGAAAGAATTGCCGTCTACTCAAAAGCCTGGAAAAAGGAAAGCAAAAAATGGAAGATTTTGAGGTCGACAGAAGAGAGAGAATTATAAAACACAAGGCTGAACACCGCGAGATCATGAATGAAATGCAAAGAGAAAGAGATCGAGCCAAAGATTTAGAAGAGATGAAGAATGACATCTTTGTTAAATTTGAAAGCAAGAAAAGTATCATGTTCAAGGGATTTGAATCTGAAATAAACCAGTTGATTGATGAGCTTAAAGTCAGAGGCCAAAAGATGGAAGAATCCAATGTTGAAAAAGAAAAATGGGAGCTAGAAAGAAAAAATTTCAACACCAGACTTGAGGTAGAGCAGGAGGTGGCTAGCAATTGGATGCAGAGATGCAGAAATAAAGATATTCAAATCCAGAAGCTTAATCAAAGA